TAAGAGTGCAGTCTCGAAGTTACTATTCCAAGTTCTGTCTTCTAAACAACAAAAGCAGCAACTTAGGAAGGAAATTAACATTCAAGAACTAATCAATGTAAAGCTTGGACCCATAAGAAGCAGTCTTCCCAAACCAAATCACTGCCTGTTGCAGATTAAAATCTTTGTCAGCTATGGCGGTGAACAGACGTATAAAAGATGGAAAGTTAGAAGCTGGGAGAGACATCTCAGGGGCCCACACGTACCTAAGCAGGAGGGGTATATATGCTGAGCCTTGTCGAGTTTGTCTTACCAGAGAACCAAATCAGTATTGAAAGACCCGGTTTCTTACAGGTACAGTGACTTGGAAATCATGCCTTTGCTTCTTGCTGAGACCTGGGGAGCTACCTGGTTCTTGTTCCTGCCAAGAATAGTGCTCACTTAACAGACTGATTTCTTCTCCAAAAGGGCTACAACTGTATGCGCGAGATAAGTGGGTTTTGCAAAGCTAGGTCTCTCATAAGTGAATAGTGTCATCTTCCAAAAGGGAGGCTAACAGGTCTTTCTTTGCATTTTCTTACACATGCTGCCATAACACAGGGAAGTTTTGGTTATTGTCAGGCAATTTCAAGAGAACCGAAAGGGAAATAGAATCGTCATCTTGCTAGGATAAAAGCAGGGAGGTCAGGTCAGTTCTGTTCAGTCAGTTCTGTTGCAGTAACCCCATGAAAGGTGACGAGGTGTGACCAGGGCAGGCGTGGTGATGAGAACAGGACGTGTTTGGGTTGCAGGTATATTTTGAAGGTGGTGCCAGCTGCCTTTGCTGCCCGTGGATGTGGCGTGTGAGAGAGAGGGGAGGGGTCAAGGATGACTCAAAGTGTTTCGGCTTCAGCAGCTGGAAGCAGGGGGTTGCCATTGACAGAGATTTGGATTCTTATGGACAATTGCTCTTACTTTTAAATGTTGCTAATATTTTTTTTTTGCATACTTGGATGTCAAAGTAAATCACATGTCCAACTCCTGAACCAATTAGGTGATAGCCTCTACCATCCAATTTTCAGAGTCACATCAGTAAACTGACTTTGACTTAATATATAACAAATTTTGAGACATCAGAATTAGCATGTTTCTTGAAGCAGTTTATCGTTGGGAAGAAAATGTCTAAAAAGTAGAAATAGAAAATTATAAATATTGTAAACAGTCTTACCTTTAGCAAAGTTTCTGTCTACTCTAGACTAAAATCTTTATCAGCTATGGGAGTGAGTAAGTGTATAAAAGATTAGAAGTTAGAAGTTGGGACAGGTATCTAAGGGGCCAGCATGCACCTTAGTAGGAGTATATGCTGGGCATGTTCAGTGGACTGTTTTTATGCTTTTTTGGTAAAAGCATTATTATGTTTAAGAAAAATTGAGAAAGCCAGATTGTTACATTCTGAGTAAGGTGACTTGAGAGTTCATGAAACACTATTTTAGTCGCTAAGGAAAAAAAAATCTCAGATTCTCATCAAACTACTGATTGGAAAAAGAAGTCGTAATTAAGTTCTTAAGTACAGGTGATGCTTGACATTCAGAAATTCCACATTGTTTCGACTACTCATGAGTGACCTTTGCGGGGCTTCTTTGCCGGAGGGCGTCGCTGGCTGCTGGGTGAGCTCTGCCAGCTACCCGGGTCTCCCTGCGTCTCTTCACCCACGTGTAGTAACTCTTACGAGTCAAAACTTGGGTTTAAAAAAAAAAAAATAGGACCCTAAAAGAAAGTGACAGCTGGTGCCTAACTGAAAGATGTTGTTTTCACTATTTTTTGCTACATTTTGTGGGAGAAAGTATAGATGATAATAATGGCATTTGGAGATTCATGAGGGTCTGAAGATTATGGAAGTCAGCAGTCTTCTGAATAAATGAAAGGCTTCTCAGGCGCGCATGCTCCTTGCACGGGTGTAGGTCCTCCATGTGACCAGCCACCGCAGCGGGGCATCCACTCTTAGTTGTTTCCGCCAATCTCCCCAGAACGCCTAGCCCGAGCCCCCATCCACCCAACTCATGAGCAGTGTCATGTCTTACCAGTTGGCTGATGAAAGGGGTCGTGTGTTGCTCTAGAACCAAGTCTGGGATTTGAACACACAAGTAACATGAGCCAGGATCAAGCCCAGATTTTCCCCTGGGCAAAATCAAGATGTGTCAGTGGCTGCGCTGCACAGAGTTTATGGTGACAGCAAACTCAGATGGGTTCTCTTCTACTCCCTGTTGTCAGGACCAGGACTCCTGAGCAGACACCTTCAGGAGGCTTCAGGTTTGAATGTGGTTTGGACTCATCTTGCCTGCCGTACAGGAGCATCAACACAGGGAAGGGATCTATACAGAAAGGTGCCCCCCCCCCTTATATGGTCTTACAGGAAGGAACAAGTGAAAAAGCAAAGAGTTAAGGCTTCACTGATGCTGTGCTTCCAAAATACATTTGCAAGGTCAAGCTGTCTTTGTTCTCCAGTTGAGCATGTTGTAAAAGTGGTGGAAATCCTACTACCGTTTTATTTGACTCTGGGGTGGTGGGTTCTGATGGTGTCAGAATAAATGGTATTTGAGTTTTGTAAATTTATCATTGAAGGGCTAGCAGATCTTATTAGAAGGCAAGATAACTGTTCTCTTGTGGCTTCATTAATTATGGTACCCTGACATAATTAGGCTCTAGCTAAGAATAGCAGGTAAAGTGGAAAACAGTTCTGGGAAAAAGAGTTGAGATTCTGAGAAACTGAAAGAACATAACGGAGGGCATCCATTGAGTTGCAGGTACAACACACGGGACTAAAGCACCATCAGTGATGGCCCCCCTGCAGGGGGTTGGGGGGGCTTGCTACAGCTGGGTCTTTAGGAATATGTTCTTACCCTCTTGATTTTGTCTCCATACCCTATAGACAGATCATCTAAAACATCCTCCATGATTCAGAAATAACAAATTTGACTATTGGAATTTGATTCATTCATTGTTAATTAATAGACTTTTTAGTGCAGTTTTAAGTTTATGGTAAATTAAGCATGAAGTACAGAGTCTCAGGACACCTCTTCCCCTGCCCCCACACGCAGTTTCCCCCATTACCAACATCTTGCATCAGTGGGTACATTTGGTACAACTGGTGAACCAGTGTGGATACAATGGTATTAACTGAAGTCCATACTTCACATTAGGGTTCACTCTTTGCATTGTACAGTTCAGTGGGTTTTGACAAATGTATGATGCCACGTATCCCCCCCATTGAAGGACTGTACAGAATAGTTTCGCTTCCCTAAGTATCCCCGGTGAGCCACCTGTTCGTCCCTCACCACTTTCACCCCAAACCCTCGGCAATCACTGGTCGTCTCTCTCTCTAGTTTTGTCAGTCTGTTCATTTTTAAGTAACTACACAGCTGTTGACTAAGGAAGTATCACTCATTCCTTTATTTATAAAGTAGGTCCTCAACAAATATTATGTGCCAGGCAGTGTCCTTTGCCTTGGGAATACAGTAGAGAATAAGAAGTTAAAAACCCCAAGAATAAAAAAAATCTCCATGACGTTCACATTCCAGTACATTAAGCCGCCAGGCTCAGCTGGGTCCTCAGTAGGAGTGAAGCGGGCCCCAGAGAGCACAGGATGAGAGGAGGTAGCTGGAGAATGTAATTTGAGAATGGAGCCTCCTACCAGTTAGCTGTGGTCTCAGGCCAGACCCCATCCTCCCCGTTTTTCCTTTGTGCAGTCTGGTCCCAGGAATCCCATCTGCTGGCCGCCTCTAGGTGCCACCTGGGTTTTCTCTCCTGAGTCCAGCTGCGGTGTGATGCCATTTTGCACCTTTTCCTCTCCTGCTGACTCTGAAATTTATGCCAGCACCTTTTAAGATTTTTCTTAAGCTTTTACTACTAGTTATCTGTAGCTCTGCCTAGTGGTACAAAAAGAAAATAAAAAAGTTCACAGAATTACAAGAAATAGGTGCCCAAGATCATCGTCTAAATACTAACTGGACAAGATCTTTGGAAGTGGATGACCCAGGGTCTTACTCTCCAGATCCCCTCTCCTTGGGCAGACGGACATCGGTTCCCCTGTCTTGCCATGAGAAGCCCCATTCTTAACCCTGCCGCTTTCTCCGCGGCCCTGGTCCTCTAGAAAGATAGGCGGTTTCAGTGAGTGAGGAGGGGTCAGGGAGAAGAGAACCATTTCCTCCTCTCCAGCCTTGCCTCCGTTTTGTTTCACAACAGAAACGTGCTTACAGAGCAACTCCGTGGACTCCTTGGAACCCTCTTGTGCACATTCTCCGAGCAGACCCAGTGGTCTGCCCCTGCAGGCTGGGGAGAGCCCACCACAGGCATCTCATCCCAGCGACACATTCTGCAGTGTCACGCTGGTAGTTTGAATTGGCCTTGGTGGGAGTGTATATACACCATGGAAACCAGTCAGTGCTACAGATCAGTTTTACTGTTTCCCCCAGAGAGCTACTGTACCAGCACACCAGTGGGCAGAGCTTTCTTATTCAAATTCTTGTATTGATTCCACCGTAAGAATTAAACCCATGAACTCTGTATTAATTCACAGGCTCTAATTCTACTCTCCATGGTTGTGGTAGGCAGGGGGGAATGCCAACCAAAGTGAACAGGGAATTTGATCCGAAGTTTTGAACACCAGGCTTTGCAGTAAGCTGCACAGAACTTACTTTTACTTTCATGAACCTGGAGAGAAGGGTTGAGGCAATTCACAGGTGGTTTCCTCTGCGTGATTATCACTGATGTCTCACAGCTGTGAGGCTGTAACACTTCCTGCTGCAGGTGTGGGGCCAGGATCACAATTAGCATTTCTCCCCCCTCCCCCCCCCGCCCGCCTGCGCCTGCCGGGGAGACTGTTCGCTGGGCCTGCGTAATTCGCAAGGAGCCCCGCGTGCTGACCGCCCTTTGTGCCCCAGCAGGACCGCGCACGCCAGAGCCAAGGCCGACGCCGCCGACCAGGCTGCGCTGGCGGCCCGCCAGGAGTGCGACATCGCGAGAGCCGTGGCCCGGGAGCTGTCGCCTGACTTCTACCAGCCAGGTAGGACCGTGGTCCTGTGATGGGGGAGGTGGGAGCGTTGCCTCCGGTTTCCGCTTGGGTTTAACCCCAAGGCCTGTGCCTGGTGAATTTCAGGAACACTACAAAACAAGTGGGAGCATGGAGTCATCACATCTGAAGTGAGATTTGGCTGGTTCCCCAGTGACCTTCTTTCCCTTCCCACCTCCCCCTACTCCCCCCAACCCTCCCCTCCCCCTACTCCCCCCAACCCCCACCTCCTCCACTCCCCCAACCCTTCCCAACTCCCCAGCCCCCACCTCCTCCACTCCCCCAACCCCCTCACCCCACCTCCCCAACTCTCCCAACCCTCCTCAAATCTCCCTCCCTCCCACCCCTCAACCAGTCACCACAGCAGCAACTTTCAGCTGATAGCAGTAAAGGAGACGAGAATCTAAAAGAAGTATCTCAGAAATCATATTAAGAGTGTCGGGGAACCATTGTAGATGCTAAAACAAATACCTCAAAATCAGAGGCACCTGTAAACAACCCCATTAGCAGTAAAAGAAGAGCCAATTAGTGCTCTGACCTTCCTTTAAATATACCTCAAAGGGATGTGGTTGTGTTGCCGGAGAGTAGGTTCTTGGCTTGAAAAGGAGAGAATTCAGGAGTGAGGCACAGCAAAGTGGAAGCAAGTTTATTTTGAGAGATAACACACTCCATAGACAGAGTGCGGGGGTCTCAGGAGGCAAGAGAGCAAGCGACCACAGGTGCAGGGCTGTTTGTTTTTAGGGGCTGGGTAAGTTCATACGCTAATGAGTATAAGGATTACTCCAGCTGTGTTGCAGAAGGGTCAGGGATTTCCAGGAACTGGGCCTCCTCGCCCACTTTTGGACTGTTTATGGTCAGCCCAGGAGCTGTCCTGGTGCCTGTGGGTGTGCCATGAGGCTCAAGGTCTACTGGAAGTTGAGTCTTGGTTCTAACCAGTTTGTCCTGTCCTCAGTTGCCTTGTTATTCCTTCAGTGGCTATGCCCTGCCTCTTTCCTCCTGTCTCGGTTAGGATGTAAAGAAGTATATACCACTTAAACGACAGGTGAGCCTGCACAGATCCAAAATGTATGTCATGATAAAAGAAATGAAAGTAACAACCACATACACACAAAATCAGTCCAGATCATCTGCCTCTCCAATGTTATAAAACAGCAACAAATATTTACAGTAGGTTTAAATATTTAACTCACTTTTTAGTGGTTTCCTAGTAGACTGTTTCCATCCCTCTCTATAATGAAATGGCAGTCCCTACTTTTTTATGTATGTTTCTCTGTTGTTTTAGAAACAGTATCTTCCCATTGATTGAGGGATCAACAGATTTTTAGGCAGAGGCCAAAAGAAATGTTCTAAATTTATAAATATAGAAATTTACATTTTCTTGGTAAAGAGTTTTCCCACATTGGTTTCTATTAAATCAAGCTGGATAACCAGCTCCCTGCATGACGTATGTATCCAATACCTGTTGGGTTCTAATGATGGAGGTATATTTGGGCATTAGTGTGACTACATGAATAGGGAAAGTCAAGGTGAACAGAAGAGCAAGAATCCGTGTAAAAGCTAGAAACTTGGTGAGATAAAGGATGGGAGAATGAGAAGGAAATGATACGGGTTGTTCGGTTTTTTTGTTGTTGTCTTTCCTGCAGAGAATGAAGACAGTAAAAGGTCATGTTAACAAGACTCAGTTTTATGAGTGTCTGGGGAGGGGCCCAGTCTGGTTGCTGAGTTGTCACAGAGTGACTTCTCTGATAGTTCAAGGGAGGTAACCAGCGTGATGAATGGTGGGTTGTGTGTGTGTGTGCGCGGGCGCGCACATCTCTCTTTTAAACCTCTAGGAGGGATTAAGTCATTGACTACATACGTGTATTTTCTCAGGAAAGGGGAAATTTCCATTTTTTGCAGTAGAAATAAACGGTCTCCTGGAAACTCATGCTTCCCTGGACGTAAGTCTAGGGCAACTACCTGTTCTAGGGGGTGAGAGCTGGGGAGAGGGTTCAGCCAGGGGGGAGGGATGTCTCCTCAGTAGCACTGCCGCTGGGGGCAGCTCAGTGGTCAGGAGACAGTGCGCAGCTTCACCGAGCAGCCCTGGGCCAGAGCTGATTTGGAAGCAAACAAACTTACTATTGTCTGCAGATCGTATTTCCTTGATTCTGTTGTTAATTTTCTGTTGGGATATAGGGTCCCCCGGGAGATTTCCATTAGGTGTTAACGAGAGGTAAATGATATGGGAGGTCATCTCAATTTTCCAGACTAAATGGTTTTAAAAGCCTTTTATGGTGCGAAAGTATTTGAGAGGGGGAAAGTATTGTGGGAAAATGTAATCCCACCCTTTCCTAGCTAAGACAGTTTTACATAAGCAAGTTGTCCATCTGTAATGAATACATCACAGTTGCAGGAGATGACAAGGGGTCTATTTGAGACAAGAGCTAAGAGGGACGGCTGCAGTCCCCTTTGACCCACAGCCAACACTTCCTTCAGCAACAGTATAGAAAGCCCTTTCTGTACAGAGTATTATTGATCTTCTCAAGGGAGCATAACTCATGCTTTCCACTCTGCATTTACAGGGTGATCAAATCAGAGAGACATTTCTAAAAGGGCTTTCAAGTACTTTTTCTGAGTCAGGCTGCTCGTTTAATTTACATATCTCAGATATCAATGTTGCCTTTGTTTGTAATGGATGTGCCGTGCATAGAAGTTGTTAATCCTGGGGAAAGGGATGTCTGTCACAGCTTACCATGAAAGTGCTCTAAGTATAAGTTATCTCTGTTCCGGAGTTGGCAGTATTTTCAGATATTTACCATCTTAGTTCAGTCTTACACTTTTGGTTCAAAACAGTTTTTAATTGAACTGTAGAATACTACAAAGGGGAAAAATATAGCCATGTGTGATGGCTTTATCAGTCAAAGGGCCGAGTTCTGACATAATAAAAAGCAAATGCATATATGTGAATGCACGTAGATAACTGTATACGTACACCGAAACCTGAATTGCCAAGAGTATGAGTGACACAGTGCGTCGTCCACCAGGAAATATTCTTAGTTAAACTTTAAAATGAGCCCATGAGACTGCACCAAGGTGCAGTAAGTGATCATAAGTGACAGCAAAGCTGTAGTACAGCAAGATATCCTTGTGACCTGATTGAGTGTATTAAAACTTCTGAAGACTTGGTCACCCAAAGCAGTATAGAAGAAAGTCACAGACGCAGACGCAAAACTTGGCAGTGCCCATCCACCCACTCTGCAGAGGAGGGAGAAGCCATGGCCAAAACCTTGGAGTGGTGCAGTTGCGCTGGCAAGGGCATTTCTGTTATGGAGAAGGATGCAGAGAGCCGTAGCCAGCCGTGTATGGCTTTATTGGCAGGATCACCCGCCTGAGGCAATGGACTCATCAGGCTTGCTCAGCCCGATGCCATCAGATACTTGATTCATCTCGTGCTCCTGTCCCGATTCCACGTTCACCAGTAACCTTCTAATTTTGGTTGAGCTCCTCGTGGAGGTCTGCCAGCTGGGAAAGCATGCAGTGGTGGTATCAGGGCAAGTCTCTGGCCTCGGTGACATTTACATTGCCCATTGTAAGCCAATGACTTGCCTTCTGGTGTCATACATCAGTCTTGTGAGTGTGGGTGATGTGCGTCTGCCCCGAGGGATGGCTGTGCTTCAGAGTGCTGATGAAATTGGGTGTCTGAGCCAGGGAGGCTGAGGTGAGACTGGATGATCACTAAGGAGGTAGGGGGAGTGGGACGTAGGGGGAAGAGGATTGGGAAACCTATGTATGGCTCTTTGCTCCACTGTTCTGAGTTTCCTTTCCATTGAGATGCTTTTGTTTTTAATTCTAAGTGCTACTTATCAGTTGTGGGGATGACTGGTCCATGGGTTTAAAAAGACTGAGAATGTGGTAAGTGTATCACTTGGAGCCCTCTGGGGAGACAACCACCCCCCCAACAAGCTTGTCTTCCTGTGTCAAAGTATGTGTGTATTAGTCAGCACTGGCTGCTATAACAAAGTACTTTAAACTGGTTGGCTTACACAGTAGCTGCTTATTTCTCCCAGTTCTGAAGGCTGGAAGTCCCAAGATCAGGGTGCCAGCATGGTAGGGTTCTGGTCACGACCATCTTTCTGGCTCACAGATGGCTGTCTCACCGTGTTCTCACATGGTATCTCCCCAGTGCATGTACCTGAAGAGTGAGAATTCTCGTGTCTCTTCCTCTTTTTGTAAGAGCATTAAGCCCATCATGAACTAATGTAAATCATCTCCCAAAGCCCTCACCTGCAAATAACATCACCTTGGGGTTGGGGCTTCAGCACATGAATGTGATCCCACCCCGCCAGCACCATACACTCAGTGTGTAACAGCATGTATGTCCACACACAGTATGTTGATTACTTGAAGTCTTAGTATATAGGTTTGAGTTGGTAGATGACTAAGCTTACACTTCTGGTACGAACTAGACACCATAAGAATTTATATTTTCCTTTTCATTATATAATTGTGCTAACCATTACTATGTAATATTTTTGATTAAGAAAAGACAAGCATCCTGTCAATAGATGATTTTCTAAACTCACTTTCCAAACCCAAAATTCTGAGTAAACTTTTTTCATAGAAAAAGGGAAATGGAATAATCCACCAGTTGACATGAAATTAGTAATTCATAGGTTTGCCGGTTATCCTTACCACTTACTTATTCCGGTGGATTCAGTTCCGCACACATGTGGATTGAACGGCTGCCGTGGGTAGTGCTCTGGGTGGCCATCCCCGTGGCTTGCAGACGAGAGTGCTATGGCTGTGTTCACAGAAGTTGCAGTATTATTACAGACAGGACTCTAAAGTCCTACAGGATAGTGGCATTCTTTCCACATAGCATATGAAAGTGATCCTGCAATTAGAGTATTTTTTTTTTAATCTTTCAGTCTGGTCCTCTTTTACTGATTGGCAGTCTCCCTCAAAAATATCTAATTTCTATGTAATGACTTCTGGTATTGCTACAAGGCATTTGCTAGCAGCACTGCCCTTGTAGACATTCGTCCTGGGGTGTCTCCCTGGTGTTCCTTCTGGGCCCAGCCACGTCACTGAGGCTCACCTATAAAGAACTCGC